TGTGGGGTTTAAATAGAAAATCTCTTTTAGTTCTTATTTTTTCAGTTTGGGGTGTATTTAAGGGTAGTTTGGGAAGATAGTGGGGTTTTCTTAGAAATTGTGAAAATTAAAATTAAAAGTTGGGGTGAACTTAGAACATGAGGTGAACTAAAAGAAGTGTGGGGTTTAAATAGAAAATCTCTATATATATATATAAAGTATAAACAAATGCAACTAGGAGGGTGCTTTTAAAAAATTAAAAATTAAAAATTAAATAGTATGGCCGCACGGCTATGCCGTTTAAATATAATGTACTTAAACCGTATAGCCGTGCGGCTATACTAAGATTTTCACAGGAATATCGCCACTCGGCTGTACCTATTTTGACACGTGGCGCCTAATCACTAGGAGGTCCACTTTTTTTATAAAAAAATAGTCCAGCCGTTGGGCTATACTCGGTGTTTTTGTTTATTTATTTATTTTAATAGTATAGCCGTTCGGCTATACTCTGTTTTATTGAAAAGAATTGATTCAAAAATAGTTTCGAATTTAGTACGTAATATTTTTACTCGATATTTAGAGATTGTGCATGTAGACTGTGGTTGCATCATTTGATAAACAAATTTGGGGACGAAATAATACCCTTGCAGGGATGCCTTCACTCAAGTAATGATTACCCTAAACCAGTATTTTATAATACTTGACACTATAAAAATTGATGCAAATAATTACTTGAAAATGTAAAATTACAAAAGTCAAATAATGAAGTTCTGTGTTCTGCAGCAGAATATGTATCTATGAAACATGTCAAATACTGCGGCAAACGGATGGCCTAAGTGGGTGTTGCACAGCTGATCCGGTTGACATTTTTCCGGCGACGATTGGGACCATACATCGCCTGAATTGGCATAACAAATTTGGCAAGGTAAGATTTGAGAGATGCTCTAGCAGCCAAACCCTCCATCTCACTAGAAGACTGAAGCTGCTCCAATAATTTTACCACCTCATTCATATCTGGCCTAAACTTAGAGTCAGTTGACAGGCATTTCATTGCAAGGTAAAGTGCTTTGCGAGCTTCATCAGAAGAGTACTGGCCTTCAATCCGAGCATCAAAAAGTTGGTGAAGTTTGCATTTTTTGGCAGATCGGGCATGTTGAACTAAATCTTGCTCTCCTGATGGCCTGTTAGCATCCAAAGCTCGTCTGCCGGATAAGATTTCAAGCAGAACAACCCCAAAACTGTATACATCACCTTCGGGTGTTAAGTCTTCTTCAAAAGACATAAAAATGAACAAAAGATCAGATGGGAGCAGGGATAAATATATGCTTGATCATATGATGGATACTGCAGAACTGATGAAGATGATATAGAGGCAGAGATGAGAGGGGGCTTTAATTAAAAGTGGATGGAACTTGATGGCTAATAGAAATGGCACTGAGATATAATCCAAGGAAAAAAATGTTGCTACAGAGATTTTACATGTCATAAGATTGCATGTTTCTATGCAATTGTAGGGTGGTAATAAATAAAAAATACCTTCTTCATGGTAGAATTTATTGCTATTTGAACACGAACAATCGGATAACTGAAGCATACTATAACCCTGAAGCCCTTCCTTGGCCAAACCATAACCAGAGAGTTTGGCATTGTAGTTCTGTTATTTAACAATGAAAAAAAAGGATAGGTGAGCAAGTCTAACAGATCTCTTCTAGAAGCCATAAAAGTTCAAAAGCTAAAGATTTCACATACTGAATCAAGAAGGATCTTAGAAGTTTTGAAGTTCCCATATATCACTTTTGCCTCATCACTGTGAAGAAATGCTAGACCCTTAGCTGCAGCCAGGGCAATCTTGATGCGAAGGCTCCATGGGAGCGGTTGAGACTGAAAATACCCTGTTCCCAAAGAGTTAACAATCCCTAAAATATATTTCATATCGAAGTACTTGAGCTCCAGATTCATGGTATTGCTTCATTTAAAAGTTCAGATGGCTACAGAGCAAAGGAAGTTTTATAACTCACTTCTAAATAGATGATTATCCAAGCTGCCACGAGGCATAAATTCATACGCCAGAAACCGGCAGCTATCCTGTAAGCAGTAACCTATCAACCTCACAAGATTTGGGTGATGCAGCTTTCCAATGGAGTTAACCTCTGCCTACAGATCAAGAGATGCTCCACAAAGTCAATCGATTAAATATTTCTCTGAAAATACTGCACACACAACATCAGTAACTTTATTAATATTTTGATATCTATATTTTGGCCTTCTTTGCTTCAGGAGCACTTTGAGCAATTGAACATCAGTAACTTTATTTTAGCTTCCCAACTACTTGACATTGTTCCATAGTCAACTAAGATGAAAAAATCCCAGGTTCAATACAAAAGCTGATAAAAAAGAGATAGAGAAAGTGTATTTGAGAATGAAACATAGACTCTGCATATAGAAGTGAAACTCACCAGCCATTCCTTCTGACCATGGAGACCCTCTTGGTTAAGCCTTTTCACAGCAATAGCCATGCCAGTACCAGACTTGACAGCTGTTAATGAATTCTCATCAATCCACCCCTTGAAGACCAAACCAAAACCACCTTCACCAACCATATTATCAGGACGGAAGTTCCTGGTGGCTGTTTTGAGTTCATTGAAGCCGAAGCACTTCAAATTGGAGGACTGCAAGATCTCACCCTCTGCTGAAGGCACCGAGACAGATGGCACCTTGCTCTTGACTGTCTCATTCTCAATCGTCTCGGGCACTGTGTCCACAGCCAAAGTGACATTTTTCACAGTGTGCCTCTTCACGTTCGAGCTAAGCCTACCACCCATAGTTTCTGTTGCTAAGAAACTATTTAAATTGTCAACAACTGAAACCAACCAAACCCATCAGAAGCTGAAGTAATCAGTACTTACTAGCAGTATCAGAAGCAAAAGACTCGTTCAAATCAAACCCATGATTTCTTTTTCTTTTTTTCCAGGGAATTTTAATTCAAAGATGACCATGATATAAAACTAAGAAAACCGAAAATATGGATGAGTATAAACTTACATGATATAGAAAGAAACCAGTACTCGGAGTGAAACAAAAAGTAAGGCTGATGAATGAAAAGAAAAACTCACAAATGATGATGATGAAGTTTACAAATCAACGAAGGAGCAAGAAGGAGAGACAGAGAGCTCTTGGAAAGCGGAGGAGACAGAGGTAAAGAAGTAGGTCGTTGACGGTTGACGAAGAACTAATATAACCATGATTTTCTTCTTAAAATAATACGTTACCAGTTTGTCTCCTTTTTTTTTCTCTGTTGAAAAATGATACCAGTTGTTAAAGCTGATTCACGACCAAGTCAGACAAGTTTATTGTCATTCATAAATCCTGGAAAAGTTTTTTTCTTTCTTAGTTCTGTTTTGAATCTCTGATGTCTTCATGTCTTATGCGATCCCTCCAGAAGTTGTACATATTTACATGACTTACCTTTTCATGTATGTGTGCTCTTGTCAGGTCTAATGACAGGCTACGTTATATGTAGTGAAACAATTGTGTTTGAAAAATCTGCCTAGGCGCCCGCCTAGGCGCTGGGCGTCCGCCTAGGCAGGTCCGGTCGGGTAACCTACATCACGCTGCCTCTCTCTCCTCTGAGCCGTCACCTCCTTTCTCTCTCCCTCCCTCCCTCTCTATCTCTCACGACAGACCACCACCACCAGGCCTCCACCGGCGACGACCACCACCAGGCCGCGACCCGCGACCCGCGACCTGCGACCTCCTCAAACTCACTCTGAAACCAAAATGAAAAGGGCACT